TCCTTCTGGAGTTCCTTGATTAGGGTATTGTTTACTGCTGATTGTATGTCTGGTGGTAATCAGACATACAATCAAGCAGTAAACAATACCCTAATCATGGGTTCAAAAGAGACAATAGCAAGGGAAACAAAAGACCAGAACATCTCACCAGCAATCATCACCCAGATAAGCAGAGATTACCACCAGGCACACAAGCAAGCAGTAAACAACACCCTAATCAAGGAACTATCAGAGGGGAAAAAATAAAACCAAACCCACCCACCCCACCAACACTGGCAGGGCATGCCACGGTATATAAACAGAGAGCAAACCCCACTCCACTCTAGCACTGAAGATGTTACCTAGCTGGGTAACGAAACGTTTGCAAGAAAAACAACCAAGCTCAGAGAACCCCAAGGACGCCACAGAATTGCTCTGTTTTCTATTCCACGATGGTGATGCTAGTCTGTTCCTTCCCCATCTTTCAGCCCTTTTAGCTAATGGAGGCTCCAAGGAAGCCAGGGAATAAAAAGGAGGTCAGAAAAGGTGGGACTGGAGGTCTCTGGGGAGGAGTCCCAGTTCATGAAAAACCCAGACCCTGCTGGAAGAACAGCTGGGTTTCCCTTGAAGGGTTTGCCACTTAACTGTAGCTGGTTTATGCTATGGCTAAGGATACGTGGAGATGACCTTGGGGGGAGCCGCAGACTGGACCACCGGTGCATTTCCCACGCCCTCCCTCCTTCTGTGGGCTGAGACATTGTTTATATGCCGGTTGTCCAGTCTGCGGCTCTCCCTCCTGCCTCCCAAGGTCATTCCCACATGCCGTTACAGGATCCGGGTCACAGGCACCTATTTCTTTAAAAAGTGGGAATGACAGATGTCATGCAGCCCGAGAGCAGATGGCAAGTGACAGAATCAGCCTCACCATCTCTTGGGTAAGGATGTTCAGAAACTGGCTAGGTAGCAACAAGTAGAACTGGCATCAGAGTGGATGCCTTAAGCTAGCTGTCCCCAACCTAGCTGGACTGGATTGCCTCCAGGTAGGTTGGACTACAATTCCCATCACCTGATCGTGCCTACGCTGATGGGAATCGGACACCAAAACCTTTGGAAGGGGCAAGATAGGCCATTGGAATCTTGTGCTGAGAAAAGTGTCGTCCTGTACCTTCTCTAAAATTACGCAAATCTAGGCAAAGCATTGCAACCGTTCTTGTCTCGCTAAAATTTGTAGAAGGTGTTCTGATGCTGTTGGCCGTGGGAAGGAGAGGCTCAGGGCGAGGTGCTGAGAAGGTGCAAAGCAGAACCAACCAACTCCCCAGTCGATGGGTATCCTGATTGCCCCTCTGAATTTTCAGCCCCCATTTTCCAGGAGATCTTTGCAACCCAAGAGGAGGTCTTGCAACTTCTCTTTTAAAAATGAGAGCTAATTCTCAGAAAGCTGGGCTTGGCTGGGGGCCATGAGAAGTATGCTGACCTGACTGGAACGGCTGCTAACAATTTTTTAAAAGCGCCAGGTTTTCAGCGTACCTGCATGAATGCATAGTGGCTGTGCCTTGCACACAACTGTGCCATCCCGCGGTGGGCCCTGGGGAAGAGATACAAGAGGGGAAGAGAAGGCTATCAACAATTCCCATCACACATGGAAACCCGTCGCATCCTGGGTGTCGGGAGGAAGATTGGGGGGGCTGGAGAAATGGGGAAGGGATCAAAGCTTGTGCTTCCATTGGGGTCAGTGGTTAAAAGTAGTTGCTGCCGTCCTCCGCCCAGTCCAGCTTTGGACGCTGCTTCTGGTGTTTCCTCCGGTCCTTGCGGGATTTGTGATGGTGATGCTGACGGTGCTGGCGATGGTGACGGTGGTGCCGCCGAGTTCTGTGAGACCGTCTGGCTACATGGAATCAATGGCAAGGAGAGATGGAGGCATTAGTCACTCAGGCCAGGCTAGGTGATAAGTGCAACTAGGACTAGCTACTCCCACAGTTCTACATACAGGTAGCCCTCGTTTAGCAACTGCCTCGGTTAGTGACCATTCGCAGTTACGACCATGTTGAAAAAGTAACTTTGCAACCAATCCTCACATTTATGACCTTTGCAGGTCTGTAAAGCAAAGGAAAGCTGAAGTCAGATCATAAGCCCAGTTGTGGTTTCACTTAGTGCCCACTTTGCTTACAACCAAGTTGGGAGTCCCAAATGTGGTCACTAAATGAGGATGAGCTGAGCTGCACTCAACTCTTCTAAAAGACGTTGCCTCTGCAAACAATACAGACTGAGAGCCAGTTTGGCATAGTGGCAAAAGTGTGGGACTAGAAACTAGGAGACTGTGAGTACTAGTCCCCTCTTAGTCTGGAAAGCTGGCTGGGTGACTTTGGGCCAGTCCCACTCTTCTAGCCTATCCCACCCCACAGAACTGTTGTTGTAGTGAGAAGAGGAGGCAGAAGCATTATGAATACCACTTGGAGTTGTACAATACAAAAGTGGGCTATAAATCAAATAAATAAATAAGAAAGTCATTGATCCATACTGTGTATTCATTCATCTACCTATTTACTCCCAGTGCCTGCCACGAAGTATTTTGCTTCCTGACTTAGGTGGGAGCACCCAACTGAGCTTGGCTGATCTTGAAAAGAAAGCAGGTCAGACCTGGTCACACCTTGGATGGGAGACACTAGGAAATCCCATCGCTATTGGAGCAGGAAGTAGAGAAAAGGAAGGAAGGGAGGGAGAAAGGAAGATCAACATGTACATATGTTCACCGGGAATTGAGCTAGATTACCTGGAGGGTTTACTTTTCAAGAACTTTTCTCCCCGGATCCACATATTCTGGTGCCTGCCTGCCTGCCTGCCTGCCTGCCTGCCTTCCTTCCTTCCTTCCTTCCTTCCTTCC